ATTTCCAAATAAGTGTTTGTGTGATTTGGGAAAAACTGAGGTAGTTTGTACATATCTTAATTGCCATATATGTTTTAGGGATAATGCCTGTCTCTTGCATGCCCTTATAAATACATATATATACATATTATATGCATGTCATATAATACATAATTTAATATAAGATGTCTTATAGAGATTGGTACCTGAGACACTGCTGTTTCTTGATAGATCCTGAAATCAACCATTATCTAAAAACTAAGCCCTGATATGATTATGTGACATGTAAGCATTGCTTAGTGAGGGAATATGTTCTTCCTAATATTAATGTATGTATAAAAAATGCAGAGTTGGGGTTTGGAACAAATATTAGGGCCTGATCCAAATCCAGAGTAACAAATAGAAATAGGGGGACTGATTCATGTGATGGTGGTTCCAGATTATGTAAAGTATAGCAGTGTGCTAAAGCAGATTTTTATATTTTCCTTTAAAAGCTATTTTTATTTAAAGTGTTTTCCGTGTGCTTTTAAAAAAAACTTAGTAAGGTATCATGTTGCGTATATAAACATATAAGCAGTTTGTGACAAGGAGTGTCTTTTTCAGGAAATGTTTTCTTTATCTGCATACTTCACCAAAGTGCAGGGGTGTGTGTGGAGGGGTGGATCTGTTCTTGCTCTTGTTTTTATTTCAGTAGTCATGTATTTGTTTATTGCATGTGTGTTATTAAGGTCCTGAAGGTCCGCCGGGTATGAGTAAGGAAGGACGTCCTGGAGAGCGTGGGCAGCCTGGTAAAGATGGAGATCGTGGTACTCCAGGAATGCCTGGACCAGTTGGACCCCCTGGAATTTGTGATCCATCACTATGTTTTAGTGTAATTGTGGGGAGAGATCCATTTAGAAAAGGACCAAATTATTAATTTGTGATATGATAATTTAGAAGAATAGGTATGGTGCTTGTCTTTTATGGTCTTTCAAATCTCAGGAAGGTGACCAGCAATAATCCAATAAGCAGGAACAAAAGTACCTCTGACATTATAAATATTATAAACATTATAAATAACGAACCCAAAGGTTATACATTCCTTTAGACAAGAAACTCCAAAACCCCAATGACTTTTTTTATACGTTGCACTGGTTGAATATCATCTGTTTTGAAAGAGTTTTAATAGGAATTAACTATAATATTTGATATTTAGTATTTAAGTGTCCTATAATTCTCCTTTTACCACTGAAGTCCTTTGCAAAATTGCTGGAAACACCACTGGGAGCAGGATTAGGTCTTAAATGGCATTGGTCAGGTATAAGTTACTGTGAAATTTTTCACATGCAGCCAACATACACAGTATTTGATTTTGAAAGAATGTGGCTGGCTTTGACTTCATATGTGTGTGAATTTCACTGGCTTGTGTACATTTCATATGTCATAGCTCCAGATGTTCTGTGAGTGAAAGCCTATATCAGATTCTTATAAATTAATATCTGGATAATCATGGAAGAAATATCACCTATTTTGCCATGCAACTGTGCTTAAAACTGAGGTGAAATGCAAGGGTAGAACTACTCGTTCAAGGGTCAAGGTTTTATTGAAGATGGTACTGTCAGCCACTAAAGATTTAAAGGTTCCATGTGGGTGATTCAACTTACATGAAAATAGTATTAAAAAATAAAAAAAGAACGAAAGACTGATACAGCTGTGATACAGTAGCTGTGATTTGACAAAATTAAAGATTAAAAAATGTTTGCACAACCCCAATGTAACAGTTCCGTGTAATGGAGTATTAAGTTATATACCCTTTGCTGTTTCTCCTCAAGGACTGCATTGCCAAATTGAAGAAGCAGGTTTACAAGGAGAAAGGTCTAGCTGGTGGCTGACCAGCTGCAATGTTTGTTATGCTGTTTCCTTTTTCATTTTAAACAAGCTGTGTGTAATTTTCATTGTAAGCTTTGCTAATGAGTTGTATTGCTTGCTTTTACATAAAGAGCAAAGCCACAGTTCCTATGACAATTTAAAATCCGTTTCTTAAATTAAGGCAGAATCTTGTATTGAACTTAACTGATGCTTCATAAGTGACTTCTCTAATGGGTTGTTATTCTGTTGTCCTACTATCAGAGAGTGGTAATATGCTTGACATTCAAGGTAAAATAAAATTTTGTAAAGAACTGGTGGTAGTTTGATGAGCAATTGCAAGAGTTGCCTTTCTCCTGTGTTGCAGAGCAGAGTGATGTCTGTAATACATGGAGGGGTGGTTCCATGTGGCAGCTGTGCTTTTGCTCTTCAGCGTCTTTCCGTTTTCTCTGGAGAAAGCATTATCTCTTGGAGCAGCACCTTTCTGCTGGGCTCCTGATGCCTGTGGTGCCAGAGCAACCAACTGCACTGTGCCTGGTGGCTGCAGCCTGCCCAGAGCTGTGGCCAGCGGAAGGGTGCTTGCAGTGAGTAGCTTAGCCAAGCCACAGCCCTGGTTATACTGGAGTGTGATCATTAGCATCTCATAAAATCTAGTCTAAAATCCTCCAAAAGGATTCGTGAAAGCAACTGACATGGACCTCAGAAATTAGGCTGTGCATGAAGTTTTCTCCCCAGACAAGTGATTCTCAGTACACAATATAAGACTGCACCTGTGTGCAACCATTGATTGAATTTGTGGAAAAAATAATCTAGAAACCTCTTAATTTGTTGTTTTCAATCTCACACTGTTTATTTTTTGAGAAATGGAAGTGAAACATTGCTAGGTCAGTGTAGTGGGTTTGTAACCCTCCCTGGGAGGGAAATGGGACTAGGATAGGTCACCTGATGTATATTTTACCAATAAAGTACTCCATGTTATGTCAGCTCAGATATAAAGAGACGGGAAGGAAACAACTCCCTCTCTTCTCCTCTGGGATGGTTGCACAGGATAGATGGCTGTTTTTGGAGGAGGAAGACACCTTTCATGGGGAAGTAGTCTTTGTTGTTAGTTTTCCCTGTGTGTATAGTGGTTATAGTTTTTTTTTTCTTCTCTGCGTAAATATAAAACTGCCTTTCTTAGCAGCCTTAATTTTGCAAGTTTTTTTTCTTCTCCCCCCCTTCCCTCTTCCTTCTCCCTCTGGGGGGGATTGGGCAGAGTCTCGGTTGGACACCGGCTGTTCAGCTAAAGTACCAATAACAGTCAGGAAGGAATCAGGATCCCAGCATACTTGTAGAACCTTTCTGAGCTGTCCACACTGCATGCTAATTTAAATCCACATTAAACACACATTTTTCAGTAAGATGTATGATGGTGGGAATGGTGAGTCTGAGAGGAAGCAAAACCAGAAACAAAAAGAGAAAGTCAGGAGGACCTCTGACTGCAGTGAATACAAACAGAAAAGCAGAATTCCTTACTTGTAGAAAAAACTCTTGATTTTCAGCCAGTTTGATTGGTAGCTTTGGGTATGATTTCATTTGATGAAATTAACACATATATCAAGCTTTCATATTAAAAGTAGTGCTATTGTCACCCCTTTAGTCCTATTAGAGGGTTGTTTCTGAATGACTGACTGAGCATCTACGTGTAATTTCTATCTGCATCTATTAATTGTCCCTTTCTTGTTGTTTTTTTACATGTCTGGCCAGTTTCTATGTGAGCTCAGCTTTTGCTTTTCTGTCTGCATTTCTGCATACCCTGGCAGTGCCCTGGTAGTTTTCAACAGGTTTTTGTCCACTTTTCCAACTCTGGAATGCTTCTCTTTTGAGCCGACTCAGAAGCTCACAGTTAAGCCAAGGTGGTCTCTTGCTCTGGCTACTTCCCTACCTTTAAAAGGGGATTAACTGTTTTTGTTCTTCTGGGAAGAGAGTTTAGAAAGGCTCCCAGCACTCACTAGCTTCCTCATGGAAGCTTCCCATGATATCCTTCACAATTTAGCTCTGAGAGAGCTGAAATTTGCTCTTCTAAACTTTAAAATGTTTGTTCTAATACTAACCTTCAGCATGGTCAACAGGATCCCAAATTCCATGGTATTATGATTGCTGCATCCAAGGCTATCCCTAACCGAGATATTACAAAGCAAACTTTCTTGTTTTGTGAGCAGCAGGGCCAGCAGTGCCTTGTTCCTGGTTGGCACATCTAACATTTGTACAAGGAAGAAGCAGTCCTCTACACATTCCAGAAATCTGGTGGGTGACATGAGCTGCTGTATTGTTCTTTCAATGAATGTGTGGGGTAGTTGAAGTCACCCATAAGAACCAGGTTCTGTGACCCAAAGCTTGTTTAAGTGATCCAAATACTTTTCCATTGGTCTTACTCTCTTGATTCGGAGGTCAGTAGCAGATGCCTACTGTAAGATCCCCCTTGGAGATGACCCCTCTGATCTTGACCAAGAAGCATTGTGAGACACTGGATTATTGTATTAATTATTGGCTTGGACCAACTCGGGGGGGGGGGGCAGGGAATGGGACAGGTCAAATTTCATGAAGGTGAGGTGATGCCCTGCCCCATACCCCAGCCCCTGTGAGCCTCCTTGGGAAGCCCTGGAGAAGGTGTCAGTCAAGACCAGCCTGGGGGTGCTGCCCCGTTCCACACCTCAGAGACCTTAACCCAGTATGGTATAAACTGGAGTATTATCAGATTAATGATCCACAGGACAGAGCCTCTTATTTATTATTGATGCAAACTATGTAAGGTTCTTGCAAATGTTGATCTGCAGTCAGAAGCTGTGAATTAAAAAAAATCATGGTGAAACATGTCACCGTCTATCTATCAGATATTTTCCAGAAACAGTTACTAGAAACTCTGTTAACTGACATTTCCTTACTCTCTTGATGATAGACTTTAAAACTGGATCTCGGGCTAATTTTAAGCAGAGGGTAAGATGCAAAAACAATTTCTGGACATTTTTTATTAGTATCTTGCTGTGTGACTTTTAGTTAAGAAATATACTTCCTGGTGGGTCTAGTGCCTGTTGGTGTCAGTAGAGGAACTATGATCCACTACACTAAATTTTTAATATAACTTCAGCTCATAATATCTCTGTGTGCATAAAATAGGTTTAACATTTACCACTTTACTATGCTCATCGATTGCTATTGTCTCGCAGATACTGAGGCATACACTTGGACATAAAGATGCAGAATTGCAAAGTATTACTGTGGGAACTGGATTTCTTAATGAAAGCTTATTGCTGTATGGAGCTCAGCAATTTTCACCTCTGAGAGTCATGATCTTCTTAAAGAGGTTTGTAGTAAATACATATGGAGTGATGTGTCTCTCTCTCTCTGTGTATATATATATGATTTAGTAAAAGACCAGATGTCACAGATGGTTTCCACATGTGCAGATTTATTTGGTGAATATATATATATGTATATATATTGTGTACGTGTATGTATCTTTCTCAGAAAGATATCATAATCATCCAAATGGAAATAGAAAGTAAAAGAATAAAATCACAGAATCATAGAATGGCTTGGGTTGGAAGGGACCTTAAAGATCATCTAGTTCCAACCTCCTGCAGGGACATCTCCTTCCACTAGAGCAGGTTGCTCAGAGCTCCATGCAACCTGTCCTTGAACACTTTCAGAGATGGAGCATTCACAATTTCTCTGGTCAACCTGTGCCAGTGCCTCACCACTCTCACAGTAAACAATTTCATCCTAATATCTAATCTGAGCCTACTCTCTTTCAGTTTGAAACCATTCCCCCTTGTCCTGTTACTAGTCTTTCTCTATCTTACAGGGTCCCTTTAGTTATTGGAAGGTTTCAATTAGGTCACCTCAAAGCCTTCTTTTCCCCAGGCTGAACAATCCCAATTCTGTGAGCTTTTCCTTGTAGGAGAGGTGCTCCATCCCACTAATCATCTTGGTCACCCTCCTCTAGACTCACTCCAACAGGTCCTTCTTGTGCTGGGGAACCCCGGAGCTGGATGCAGCACTCAAGGTGGGGTCTCCACTCTACTCGAGAGTGGAGGGGACAGAATCACCTCCTTTGACCTGCTGGCCACACTGCTTGTGATGCAGCCAAGGATACAATTGACTTTCTGGGCTGCAAGTGCACATTGCTGGATCATGTCCAGCCTCTCATCCACTAGCACCCCTTAGTCCTTGGCAGGGCTGCTCTCAATCTGTCAATCCCCTGGCCTGTACTGATGCAGGAGGTTGTCCTGACACTGGTGCAGGACCTTGCAGTTGGTCCTTTTAAACCTTATGAGTTTAAAAGGGCCTGCTTCTAGAGCTTGTCCAGGTACCTCTGGATGGCATCCCATCATTCTAGACTGTGTGGTCTAGTCTAGAAAATCTAGTCTTTTAAGAACTGAACTATCACAGTCCTTCTACTGCTTCAGAGCCAGGGTGTCATTGTCAGCTTGAGGTGTACCCAGTTGGTCAGCCTGTTAGAGGAAGAGCTGAGAATTGTTAGCTGTTCATCTTTCAGAACTAGAGAATCTCATTTCTCAGAAAACTCAAGGTGCATTCAAATGGAATTTCTTATTAATGGCTCTGACTATCTTGGCAATGAACACTGTGAGGAACTGTCACTACAGTTCATACAGATTGAATCAAACCACTGCGAAAAGATACTACAACTTTTTTTCTGTAGGGGGAACACATAGATGAGAAGTAAAAAGGGTTTACTGTCTCTGCTGAATATGGATTAAGAGGTATTTTAACAACTATTGCCTTCTGGGGTGATACTGCAATGTTTAAAACTTGAATTAATATAAAAAAATGTATGAGTTATTTGTTTTGTTGAGAAGCAAGATTTTCTTATAGTGTACATTACCTATGTATCTTAAAGAATCTAAGTCCATTTTTATAATGGGGAAATCATTACTCTGCGATTCCTGACTTTTTCTTTACAAGCATCTTTCACCTCTCAGTGTTTCCTACCTTTGCATAAAGTGCTTTTTGCTATCAAAGAATATTCTGGTGACATTCCAGTGTATTGTATTATTGTGCTTTATGCTTTTCTTTCTTGGAAAAAGATGCATTAGAAGATGTTCTTCCAGAAGTGATGTCTGGCCACTCAGCCAGCTCTCCCAAAGGTATATTGGCGGGTTGGAAGCTTGGTTGTCTGCCATGGGCTTAAAGAACTACTTAAGTGCTGTGTATTGATTTTCTGACACTTTTTCCTAATTTTCTGCTTTTAAAAGTATATAGTATCCTTCCACTTAAGGAAAAAGGTGAGAATTCATCAGAAAATTTAGCCATTTGGCTCTTACAGCCTTGTATGTCCATAATGCCTGCAAAATGTCTTTCTCATGTTGGAAGTTCATAAACTTCAAAGAATGTTTTGTCTTTTGTTTTGTGATTTTCCTTTTTTGAAGCATGAAAAAAATTCATAGTATCTCTGGGGCACACTGAAATCACATATTTAATATAATGCAAAAACCCTAGTAATGCCTAGAAACTGTGTTTCAAATCAATAATTTTATTGAACTGTTGAAAAACATAATGCTACCTGAGAGATGGAGGAAAAAAAAAGCTCTCTTCTAACAGGAGCATGATTCTTCAAGGTATGCAAGGCTTTTACTGATGTGGGAGTGAATGTTACCTCTAATGTAGCCAAGATGGAGCCTGAAGAAAACCCTTAAGCAGTACAGTAGGGTGGGTAGCAAATGAAGGAGAAGGTCATTCACTTTATTCCTTCATTTTAATATAATATGAATTGAATGAATTGTGCTTCTCCTTGTCCTTATCGAAAATTATGAGAAAATACAGTCTAGATACAAAGTGACAGACCTCCCAGAAGTGAAAGCTCAAGATGAATGTGCCAGTGATGAGCACCAGGAATCTCCAGAAGCTGAGACCAAAGTTCTGGATGAGAATTCAAGGGATCATAATAGCTGTCCCATCCTGATATTATCTAACTCCTGCTCTGGAAATTGGCAGGCAAATGCTAGCACTTAATAGTGTTTGTGTTATGAAAGTTTAAAGAGATTTTTTTTATATACACAGTAAGTCCTTTCACAGTACTTCTTAGAAAAAAAAGGAACAAACCTAGAACTTAGGAAGAAGAACCTGGATTTGTGTGTTCTGGTCACATAAAGCTCGTACTGAATATCCAAAGCCATCTGTGCTGGACACTAAGTTAGTTTGCCTTCCTGTGGAAGGGGCTGAACAGGCATTCATAAAATCCCCTATACTTCCTTTTTCCCCCCTGCACCAGTGCATCTCTCACATCCAGGAATCCAGCAGCCTACAGCTTTCTCAAGGGCAGTTATTCTTACTCAAGCTAACAGAAACACAGAGTTCAGTACTCATTTACTGTTTAGTATTCACTGTAAACAAATCACTGCTAAATTATGAATCAAACCTTTGGTGCACACTAGTGTCTTTTGGAGGTGCCTGCCATATGCCAACAGGCATACATACCACTGAAGTCATACTTAGGTGTCTAATAGTGGTACCCACAAAGTACCAACTGGCAGAAGTAAACAGCTATTAAAAGTTACTATCAGTGTTCCTTTAACAGGTAGATGTAGTAGATAATAAGTAGGAAAACTTACTTTTTAGTGGATAAACTCAGGCAGGGTCTGCCATGAGAAGGTAAATTTTATAAAGCTCAAAATAGAAGGAGATTATTACCATTTTTCCTCACAATAACATCATTCCCATAAGGATTCCTTTATATTACATGCATACTGGCAAAAGCTTGAGAAATGTTGGAGTAATACTTTGATAGTAACTCATTAGTAAATCATTATAATAAGTTTTACTGGTTGAGAAATTGATAGCATAGCTCTGACTAATGTATTTTTTATTAAAAGCTGGATGAAGGGTAAGCCAGTATTTAATGTATAAATGGTGATCAGCTAACAAGAAGTATCTTGGAGCTATGCTTGATAAGGGGATGGGTTAATGTCTGTAAACATTCTAGTGACTCCTAGTGGGGAGACTCCAGCTCCTATCTGTCACAAGCTTGAGCTCTTACTGCACCTGCACATGGTAAGAATGACAAGAGATTAATTGATTAATTCCCAGCAGGCTGAGGGACATTGCTGCTGAATGTAATGCAGCTGAACTAAGTTCCCAGCTATAACAGAGAAAGGGAGAAGGCAGTAAACTAGAAAACGGTTATCAGAACTCAGAATTTTGGGATGTTGAAAGTTTTTGGTAGCAAAGAACGGCTCTGTGACAAGACAATGTGTGGAGAATTTTGATGCATCTTTGGTTATGACAGGTTTGCCTTCAACAAGTGTCTTTGTGGAAGAGTTAGTTTTCACCTGAATTGTTAGCAAACTAGTTGACCTTATAAACCAATTGAAAAAAATGGTAAACAGCTAATAAATGGTAGCTACCTTTCTGGCTGTGGAACGAGTATTTTATTTATATATGTAGCTGGGACAATATAGGCTCTATATCTGTGAGAGTGCTGTGCAGCCATCTAGCCAGGATCCTGGTATAGAAATATATGTCGTGCTGACTGGAGTCAACTGGATTAAAAATTACAGAAGCCACCTCATCTCCGCTTCTAGTTACATGTAGCATGGGAGTATGATTAGAGAAGAAGCATTGATGTGATAAAAGAGAGAAGAAGTTAACTCTCAGCTTTTAAGCGGAGTAGAAGGCAGTAAGGACACTGTTACAAGTGAGAGAGGCAAATTCCACTGAAATTATAAATTTTATACAGTTAATACTGTTACGGTGTGAACTCTAAGAAACAGGAAGTAGAGTTTTCATTTCGGGTTGGGATTTTCTTTGCTTTTTATGTTTTAAAGGCCAGGTAATATCTGTAGGGTGATCTCCTCCAAAGTGTAATCCGTAGAAATGTCATGATTTTTAATGGCTTTCTCTCTCTTTCTTTCTGTTCTCCACCGCTAGGTCACATCCATAGCCTATCTACTTTGACATCCATGTATAAGGGATCCATTCACAGGGTCCCTACAATATATTCGTTTTTTCCTTTCACGTGATACTGTGATACTTTGGTTTTTTTCCCTTCTATTTGCAAATGACTTTTTTCTTTAATCTCACTTTCATTTTCTTTTTTTTATATTACATTTCTGCTTTTTTAAAAGCTGTATCACACTGTCTGTGTGTGTTTTTATCCATATCTTTCTTCTACTTCAGTCTCTCCTGCTTGCAATGCTCCTGTAAAAAGGAGGTGCAAAAGCCAAGTATTTTCTTGGTATAAATATATATTTTCTTGAGGTATAAAGTGAGTTACTGGCAGATCTGCAGCCTGTAGCCTGGCTGTTGAGAGCTGTGCGCATAATCCATTACCACTGTGTGATTGTT